ATCTTCGATGTTTAACGACCTTAAATTCATCATTAGAGTTGGGCATCACTTGATCTTCAGGGTGTCGATGAGCCGCTGACTCATCTGCGAACCGGTGAAGGGCTGATAAGCGGAAGTAGATAGAAGAACGAATGGACGTCAGATAATTGGATGGTTGATTGATTGAAAAACATCCCAATGGAACGGAATAATCGTTACAATACCCAAATGAATGTTACAGAGTAATATATGTGAGATGAATCCAAAATAATGTTCTTGTTCATTTCGAGAAATATACAGGAAATTGAGTGTCGGCAGCCATATTGGTAACTTTGTTATTAATGAGGATACAAAAAACAAATTATCAGTACATAGGTATTCCTGACTATAGAAGAAAATTTCTCATTATGTGTTACAAAAAACGAGAAACGGGAAAGAGCATTGAAAACACTGCCAGTTTGATAATTTAAGCAATGTTGTATATTCAATATAACAAAGTTAACTTTGGTGGACACTCAATTTGGATAACGACCCTGTATACTTATGGGTTGTATAGTTACCTACTCATTTGTAGTGTGTTATGTCTTTGTTTCCAGTAGCTACTCCTAATCATGGTTTTTAGATTGAAAATCAATGAGAACATTTTCAGACATCTTCAGCTATGAGGTGAGAACTGTATTATAATTAATTTGGAATCATTTGAATCTCAAGGTTTGAATACATCACTGAGAAAACATCATACCTATGTTGATAGAGACAAAATATTGAAGATAAAAATGTATTTATCAATTTTAAATGATCCAGCATTTCTAGCACCAAAATGAAAGAATATAGGTACTCCATTGATAATGATAGGTGAATTGAGTGGTAAATCACCTATATTCATATGCTTACTAGCTGATTCTATTAGGTATATCCAACAATGTGTATTCTCTTTCGGGGAAAGCACTGTACATACTATATATATCATTTCTGATAGCACTTTTCACACACTGAAATGGTTTATAATGTCTCAGTGGAACTTTGACCATATACTATTGATAGGTACACCGTGTTTCCAGTTGGGTTCTAGAGATCTACTTCAGAGGTTGAAATCAACTTTGGAGAATGCACTTGGAAGTGTAGGTGGATATGGAATGTTTGATTCAAATCCCAAATTTTGCTGTCAAAGAATGTTCCTTTTTTTCATGCTTTTGGATTTTCCAATCCTTTCATATTGTCCCTACAAGTCACAAATGAAAACACCATTACTTACAACATTCGATGACCCAGAAGTCTTTGAAAGTGTTCCTAATAGAGGGGCTATAGGGTTACCAGGGCAAGCCAATCAGAGACCAGCATTTAATTGGAGGCCACGCCCACTAAAAACCGGCGCGAAATTCAAATTACTCATACGTCGTCACGTCGCCATCGTGAATAAATAAATTAAAAAAAGCTGTCACCGCTGGGGGAATTGAACCAGGGACCTTTGCATTATGAGGCAGCGTATATACGCACTGTGGTATTCCGACCTCCGTGATATTTCAATTATTTTAATGCTATTCAAACGGGATATCCATAGCTGGCGCGCGCTTATCTTTGCAACGGATCCATCGAGGTAGAGTGAAGCGAGAGATGCATTCCAGAGATAAGAAACTTCGAGTCAAAAATAATATCCATCGCAGGCGCGCGCTTATCTTTGCAACGGATCTATCGAGGTAGAGTGAAGCGAGAGATGCATTCCAGAGATAAGAAAATTCGAGTCGAAAATAATATCCATCGCTGGCGCGCGCTTATCTTTGCAACGGATCTATCGAGGTAGAGTGAAGCGAGAGATGCATTCCAGAGATAAGAAACTTCGAGTCGAAAATAATATCCATCGCTGGCGCGCGCTTATCTCTACACGGGTGCAGCGACAGCAAATTTCGCAATCAACAGCATAACAGATAAGGTTGGAGGTTATCAAAACCACAAAAAACCCAACAACAAATTTCACAATCAGCAGAATAACAGGAAACGTCGAAGGTTATCGAAACCACAAAAAACCTAACAATTTCACAATCAGCAGCATAACAGGAAACGTTGGAGGTTATCAAAACCACAAAAAACCCAACTAGTCGCATAAACAAAATACGCGATAAGAATGACGCAAGAAATTATCGATATCAGCAGTCGTTCCAGATGGGTTTTTCCAGAACATCCGCGTCTACTATCAGCAAGTCACGAGGTAACTCCGCCAGCATATAAAAGCGATGACGCTACACAACATCATTCACACTCGAGTCTGCAATCGTGAACGTTGTCTCTTGACCAGCTTCAGCCAAATCATCACTGTTCGTGTGTGTGTGTGTGTGTGCATTAATAGCAATAATAGTAAGTACCTCTTTTTTATCAAAGTGCGTATTTATATTCTCAATCCTATATTATCCGACTTTTTTTATTCCATTTTGAGTTTCTTAGTTTTATTTTAAGTTTCATTGCAAATTATTCATTCAGTGCCCATTCCTTTCTCGAATTTTATAATATCGGTCCCTTTCATTTTATTTTGAAAATAATACAACCTAGTGCTCATTCCGCATCAACCTTTTTCATTCCAAGTTTTTTTTTCGAGAGTCAATTCAATGAAAGTGTCAATGATCAATCGCAGATTGATTTTATTTCTAGTTTTATCGAAAATAATCCATCCTAGTATCAAGCTCATCATGACTTTGTTGGACTGCTGATGTTTTTCGTCCTTTGTCTTCCCACCAGATGGATCTTACTCAAATCAACGCAGCTTCTCTGATTGCTCCAAACCAACAGAAACCAAGCGTGAAGTTGGTGGATCTCCTGCTCGATCAACCCCAACCAATCAAGACAGCGAGAGTGGTCACCACAAAATTTGGTAAATCTGTTCTGATTGAGTTGGAGGGCTCTGTTGTGTTCCTGCCCAGTCGTGTAACTGAGACCTATTCCCCCCACATTGGATATTTCGGTAGCGGGAAATATTCCTTGGTATTCAGAGGAAAGGTGGAGACTGGGAAGGCCAATCCAGCAGCTTCGTTTGAAATTTTGGAGAATTAAAGTAAGCTACATTTTTTTATTTGGGTAAAATATCATCAATATAACAATGGAGAGCATCAATAAAACCTTGACCAAAGTTGACGAAACACTTTTACTGATCAAGAACAATTATTCTAAACCATTGGCACTTTTTGTATTGAAATCAATCCGTTCACACATACGGAAATGTATTTTAGCATTGAAAAGAAATACTTTTTCGATTGGTTTGAAGCGTAAAATTCAGACTAAGATCGGGGAACTGAAACGGATGAGATTTTTCATCAAAACGATGAATAGAGGACATGTTGGCTCCGGCCTGAAGCCCTATATTCGTTGGATTGATGTAAATTCAATCTTCGCGTCGAGAGTGCAGACCGGTCTTATTCTGAATTTGAGACATAAGGAGATTATCGACTTTTTGGATGATTCATTTAGATTAGTAAATAAGAGAATTTCAAAAATTTTGGGGCGCTTTTCAATGCTAAAAGTCAACTTTACATTTTCCGGTGACTTCATTAAGCAGTCAAATAATGGGGAATTGGTTGACCGCAAACATTTTTGTACTCCCAATGCCATCGTGGACGCAGGAACGGACCTAGCCGATTGGTTCAAAATCAATGTGTTAGATGTGATCCTTAATAAACTTAGCGAATTTGCCGAGAAGAATAGCGGGTGGGCCTTGAGCGAAATTATTTCTCTGGAGGTTGCCATAAATAAATATGAAATGGGAAATGGCTCATCATACATCAAATTGCCAGTGCAGATTGAGAAAAAGCAGGCTTGCATTAACGTTCAAAATGATGATGAGGCTTGCTTCTATTGGAGCATAGTTAGTTGTTTGCACCCTATTAAAGAAAGTTCGAAAAGAGTTAATAATTATCCTCACTATTCACAAGTTTTGAACATCAAAGGATTAGACATACCAATGAAGCTGCCCCAAATAACAAAATTTGAAAAAATGAATGATATTTCGGTGAATGTTTATGCGTTAGAGTTGACAGAAGTCAACGAACGAACATTTTACTCTGTAGTACCCACCAGACTTACTAAGCATAAATCCAATCGACACGTTAATTTGCTTTTAATTCAGGACAAATATTTCCCAAATTTGAATGACTATGAAGCTCCTCCTGACAACGATAATGCTGAAGAGAACGTCAATATAAAATATCACTATGTCTGGATTAAGGACCTTTCACGACTAGTATCAAGTCAACTCAACAAATATAAGGGTAAGAAATTCATCTGCGATCGGTGCCTCAACTATTATCATTGTCAGGAGAAGCTTGATAGTCATGCTGCTCTATGTGAGAAAATTAATAATGAGAAAATTTCATTCCCCAAGTATGATTTTGTAGAATTTAAGAACCATGTGTATAAGCAGACATGTCCTTTCATCATTTATGCTGATTTCGAATCGCAGTTGGAGAAATGTAATTCCAAAATTTCAAAAACCACTTCAAAGTATCAGCATCATAAAGCATACAGTGCAGGGTACTATTTTAAATGTTCTTTCGATGACTCGCTGTCATTTTATCGTAGTCATAGGGGCGGAGATTGCATGGACTGGTTTGCCTGCGAAATGTCTAAAATTGCCAAATTTGTCGAATCCAAATTGAAAAATATCGTTCCAATGGTAGTCAAACCGGCTAGTACCAGTGGCGCAACCATCTGCCACATTTGCGAAGAGAAATTCAAGGCAAAAGACGTTATCGTACGCGACCACGACCATTTTACTGGCGCATTCAGAGGCTTCGCACACCAGGCTCCCTGTAATCTCAACTTTAGGAAACTGTTCGTTGTTCCCATTACGTTCCACAACCTCTCAGGATATGATTCGCATTTTATAATCAGAGACATTTCCAAGCGGGGACGTGTGAGCGTACTCCCGGTTAATCGCGAAAAATACATTCCCTTTACACAACATGATGATGAAACATGCATAAAATTCCGATTCATCGACTCTTTCCGCTTTTTGGGAACCAGTCTCGATGCTTTAGTGTCAACGCTAAAAGTTAATGATTTGAAAATCCTGAAGAAGGAATTCAGCGACGTGAATGAGACGAAATTTGCATTGTTGACACGAAAAGGAGTATTCCCATATGATTATGTCGATAATGTGGAAAGATTGGATGAATCCGAGTTGCCAAGTATTCAGAATTTCTATAACAAATTGAACGATACAAATATTTCGGACGACGATTACGCGCACGCGCGAAAAGTTTGGGAATCTTTCGAGCTGAAATCGCTGGGAGAATATAGCGACCTATATATGCGGACCGATATTCCTCTTCTTGCTGACGTCATGGAAAATTTCCGTGCGTCATCCCTCAAGACCTATGGCCTCGATCCTGCTTGGTATTACACCATGCCTGGCTATACTTGGGACTGCATGCTCAAGTATACTGGGTGTAAGCTGCAAATCATCAAAGACATCGACATGGTGATGTTTGTGGAGCAGGCGATAAGAGGAGGAGTATCGGTTTGTTGCAATAGGTATAGCGAAGCAAACAATAAGTACCAGAAAAATTACGATCCAAAAAAGCCGTCAAAGTACCTTCTTCATCTCGATGTAAATAACCCTTATGGAAAAGCAATGAGCGAACCCCTCTCTTATGGGGGCTTCACATGGGTAGAAAATGTTGACATTGATGTAACCCAAATTCCTGACAACAGTCCAGAAGGCTATATTCTCCAAGTTGATTTGGAGTATCCTGAGGGGTTGCATGACCTACACAAGGACCTACCATTTTGTCCCGAACACCGCACACCGCCAAATTCAAAATTATCCAAATTAATGACCACACTGTACGATAAAAAGTCATATACTTTACATTACAGAAATTTGAAGCAGGCATTAGAACACGGTCTGAAATTGACCAAGATTCATAAAGTATTAAAGTTCAAACAATCCACATGGCTAAAGCCCTACATCGAGTTGAATACTCGATTGAGGACTCTAGCCACAAACGATTTTGAAAAAGATTTAAGGAAATTAGCCAATAATGCGGTGTTTGGGAAGACGATGGAGAATATTCGTAATCATAGAACAGTAAAGTTAGTCAGAATGTATGAAGGCCGCTATGGCATTAAAAATTTAATTTCAAGTCCTCGGTTTCAACAGCGGACAGTTTTCGATACCAATTTGGTGGCAGTGGAGTTGAAAAAAGCAGAGCTGATTTTCAACAAGCCCCTATACATTGGTATGGCTATTCTTGATTTATCGAAAATCGTCATGTATGATTTCCACTACAATTTCATGCTACCAAAGCTTGGAGCTGACGTAAAACTCATGTATACCGATACGGACAGCTTCATCTACGAAATTGTATGTGACGATGTGTATAGTGAGGTGATTGATGCAAATATCGAGAGATTTGACACGTCTGACTATGCTCCAGACAATATTTATGGTATACCTCGAGTAAATAAAAAAGCCTTGGGCCTATTAAAGGATGAGGCAAACGGTAAGATTATTACGCATTTTGCTGGACTACGGTCCAAGATGTACAGTTATAAATTGGATATAACGGATGGGGACATTGAAAAAGAGAGAAAGCGATTGGAAAGAAAGGGATTCAGTAAAGAACGACTAGATAGGGAATTGGAAAATTTCGGCATAACTAAAAAATCCAAGGGTGTCAAGAAATGCGTCGTCAAAAATAAGTTGACTTTTGATGACTATGTGGATTGTCTGACAGCTTGGAAAGAAAAGACCGTAGCCCAGCAAACGATTCGTTCCTACGCTCACGATGTTTTTTCCATCGAACAAACAAAAATTGGCCTGAGTCCCAAAGATGATAAGCGGAAACTAATTCACGATTCATTTGACACACTTCCGTGGGGTCACTACAGTTTGACGGATTGATTTTCTCCTTAGTATTTTTGCATCAAAATTTTCAAACCAACGCTGTTGTATTGATGACTTATTTTCCCATGAAAAAAATGTAACTTCTTTTATTCATCCAATAATTTATGTTGTATATATGTATATTTTCAATTATTTTAGTATTATCTAATTATTCCTAATATTCATATTTTATTGTATAAACTTTTTTTTCATTTTTATTATTCCTTTTTACATTTATACTATTATACACTTTTACAATTTAGAATATAGAAACAATTATTAGACTTTTCTGTGTATTCTTTTCCCACACCCTTGTCTGGATGATGTGTACGAGAAAGAGAGAGAGAAAAAAGAGAAGAAGAAGTGAGAGTAAGAGAGAGAGAGAGAAAGGGAGAGAGAGAGAGAGGGAAAGAGATGTAATAAGATGTGGGTTGAAAGTATGTATGTAAAAAACAGTTGTATCATGTCTTCTGACGAATACAGACGTGCACTAGAAGAATTTGGGTTGAAAGTTAGAAAGCTCAGTGCAGACATCCAATTGTATGAGCAGAAAGTTTGTTTGTTCAAAGATTTCGAGCAATTGAGTGTTTGGGACAAGGTGTTCACAGAACCGAGACGCACAGCTGCACCTACATCGAGAAGAATCCAACCAACACAGCTAGATGGCGATACTGAAAGCAAGCTTCATTCTATTGACAGCTCTGAGCAACAACGTCTTCTACACAAACATACAGTACAATACGAGGAATGCAGCTGTATGTTTTGATGTGAATCGTACACAACAGTGTGATTGGAAGCTGATGAGTAGAATGTATGTCAACGATAACAAACTACCTGTATATTCAATCGACATGCCTCGAGTCAATGGGACCACCATCGACTACAAATTGAAATTATCGTTTTCTGATGGCAGTGACGGCGAAACTGGGGACTGGCAGACATTTACATTGAAGAAATCACCCGCAAAATTAGATGATGATCAAGATTCGGTCAATATCATTGCAATTTTGACACTTTGTTGTACACTAATATGTTCACTCATTTTAATCTCACATGTTATTTTCATTATAATGAGAAATAAGGGATGTGATGAATAAAAACTCTGAAATTATTATAAAGTTTTTTATTTTGGCAATAAATTACATAACCAATTATATAAAGTATCGACATTGTGGAGACTGCACATGAACCTTCCTCCATGGAAATGATGCATGCAAGGTGGAATGGATTGTAGGAACGTTATTGGCTGCCACCAAGAATTGTCAAAATCTTCCAAATTAACAATGTGATTGGTCATCTCCAACTCTGCACATTTTCGCTGTAAAAACTGAATCTTTTGATGGCCTCTTACGTAGATGATGTTTGTCTGCTGCAGGTTATCTCGTAGTATTTGATCCAACTCATTCAAATCCACATAACCACTGGAATATTTTAAACCATGAACGTAACGCTCCACATGATTTGCCATCTTTTTATCTTCTCTGCTTAAACTCGAAAATTCTACAGATGGCTTGAATAGAAAATGACTCGTCTTTTTGCCAATGCGAATGGTCATTTCCTTTGGAATGAATTCACCATCAACCATGAACCCTTGAATATCAACCAGTGCGATCTCCATGGCTCTTCGAAGCAAACTGACGTCTGACTGATGCAGCAACACCCACCTAGGCAATATTTCGAACAATTTCGCTGAGTGGGAGATGTTCCATGATTTGATCGTGAATGATGATGCAATAGGCTTTGGTGTCGGGAGGGAAGCCTGTAGTCGCTTCAATGTCCAACTTTATGTCAACTGTGGAAGACTTTAGACCCATAATTCGTTACTCGCTTTCAGGTTATTCATAATGAATATCAATTAAAGTTGTTAATAGATCACAGCAATTTGATACTGGCAGCGACATCTGTTGGAAATATCACGAACATTAGACAACAGCACTTCCAGTTCCCTTCGTTCAATTACGATGATGGTAATTAGAGTCCTAGAACTGGATCACTAGCTAAGGTGTAGGAACCTGCGCGTACACAATTCAACAAGTGTATTTACAGACATGTCAGTTGGCCAATCGAATGATTGATAGAAGTCACGTGATAACGAATTTGCTTGAAGCGAAGGTGAAACGAAAATTCTCTCTCTTCCCTTTGACCTTTCGAACTAAGAACAACTCGACGTTGACCTTTTCGATTTTTGTCGATTCTCCCGTAGAAAAATTTTGGAAGCTCGAGTTTTTCAACGTTTGTGACATCAGAGTGATTTGAGGTAGGCACAATTTTGATTTTTGATTGTTTCGAAGATTGCAGATTTAATTTTGTTGAATTTCTTGTAGTGAGCATTTTGATCAGAAAATGGCCGTGTCTAATAACACGCAGTAGACTGTTTGGATAGCAAATTTTCTTTTCTTTGGCTGAATAGCTTATTTGAAATATCGCTTGATAAGATATTTTACAGCTTGGTAAAATAGCTGTTGCATTGCTCTCCTTCAATACTCACTCACTTGATTAGTATCGAAAGTTGAGTGTGTGTCAGAGCACGTGATCACCCAGGATTCCTTTGAGTGGAAAACTTTCTGTGTTTTTTTTATTCTTTCAGTTTGGCTGTCGCCAAGGAAATCATAGTCGTGAAGACTGCATAAGTATAAATCAATTCCTGGTGAAAATTTGGAGAAACACAGGAAGGATTGTGAATTTTGGCTCAAGGAGGAGAAACACATGCGCAGGTGAGTAAACAGTGTGCATTTTGAATCTAGATATTAAATCTGTTAGTGTCAACTGTTGCTCACGTGCGCATCTTTTGTTTTTCTTGGATGAGAGATTCACAATTCTTATCCACCTGAGTGAATTAATATCATTGATCCATTTGCTATTTAAACAGAGTGAATATTGCTCAATCTCATATAAAAAAATTTGGAATTTGAAGGTTGTGCCTACCTTCACTCAAAACCCATTTTTTTTCCTCTTTCCTTCTTCTCAGGAAATATCTTGATCTATTGTGGCAATTATAAAATTCAAAGTTCTTATTCGTGCAAGTGGCCAATTGCACGAAGTGTGATAATTCAGCAATTATTTTCTTATGTCAAATATTACATAGATATTACCTTGATAATTTTCAATTTTATCTTAAGATCATACTATCTGTATATGTATATGTATTACCAAGATAGAAACACAGATTTTTGAATCAATTTTATTGTTTTCTGGTTATCTGGTATCTTTTTGATAATTCTGGTAATCCTGTATTATTTTTTTGATAAACTTGATTTTCAATATTTTGTCATTGTAAAACTTTAGCATTGACCTTCAGTTTTTTTAAATACTAGACTTTAACATTATTTTTTTTTGATAAACTTGCTTTTCAATATTTTGTCATTGTAAAACTTCAGTTTTTTTTATATACTAGACTTCAACATTTGTGTTTTGTAGCCCTCAGCTTCAAGACATGTTTCACTAGGAACCATCAGCGGTTCACCCTCCTTGAAAATTTACTGATTCTCGTTAACTTTCATTCTATGTCGACACACGAGTGATCAATCAGGAAGCTCAATACGACCAGTACAACACGAGTCGTTGAAGATCACCTAGATTTCCCATATCTCAGTGCTGAGATTGTAGACCTGCAAAGAGCCGAGGAGCTCGCCTCTAGAAATCATCC